CAAATTATTTTAATTTCCATTTGGAATTCAACGGCTACTTTATACGTCATGCTGAAGTTGAGCTGTGGCGCTGTATGAGACAGTAAGCTCCTGCAGCCATTTTTGAAATTCTAACCAAGAGTAGAAATTCAGATCGAAGTCTTCCTTGGCGTCGCCGCCGTGGTTTCTTAAGGTCCCTATTATTCAGTAAAATTTAATGAGTCCTGTTTTCACATGAAAGATGAATTATGATCGTGAATTCAAAAGGCCGAACGTGGCATAAATTTAACGATGAAAACCGATTTAAAAAAGTCCTTCGCTGGGCACTCGCACTCAAATGATAAAAAATAATTATAATTGAAGAGAGCTTGATTTAAACTGGCTATGTTCAACTCGCGCGCCAAATACAGCTGCGGTTTGAAGAAAATGCTGGTTTCCGAATCTCGGCCACGAATGGGTTAAATTACCAATTTAACAATAATTACATCTTTAAAAACCTTAAAACTGTCACTCCTCAATTGGTTGTTTCACCAAAATTTGACTAATGGCTTTTGAAAGTGAATAAGGAGTTTCAAACGGCTTAAGTTACCTTGTTAAAAAGCCACCTTGAGACGAAGAAACAATACCGTCCTGTCATCATTAGGAGCGCCGGGGTGATAATGTAAAACCGACTGGTGGGTGGTGAAAAGTCTAGCCAAGAATAATTCCTTTCTGTATTAAACACCCTATCGTCAACAGTCTAGAAAATCTTCACGTCGAGGACTATTTAAACAAAGCACTGTGAAATAACTTGTGAGAAAAGGACTTCTTACCATAGTATCGACGCTTAAAGGTCAGTTGGATTGTAAACAAATAATTTTCTCTTGTTCTTTCAAAAAGACAATGATAACTAAGTAAAATAGATGGTAAATAAAGTTCTCTCTTTTTTTTCTATATAACTTAGCTTGCTTATAGTTCAGTGTTGAAATTTATCGTCTTGTTTCCTAAAAAAACGTAAGCGTCACTCCCGATTGAGAAACGTAAGTTGATCGACTCAGATGTTTTTAACCTTCTATAGTGGTTTTATTCAAATCATTTTTTCGCAGTATGGAATGAATGACTTAAAGGTGGCAGATGTTCTAAATGGGCCTACTTAGGCGTCAAGCTCTGTTTGCTGTTTTCTTTTAAATCTTAAGTTCTGTCCCCGGAAAAATATCGCACCGGTTTGATATAGGCCAGGGTGTAAAAGGCAAAGAAGGTGATTTTTTGGCTCAGCATCAGTGCTACGATTAACAAAAGCCACCTTGCAGCAAATTTTGAATATTACACATTCAGCATCGTTTAATGATTGCAGTCAAACCAGGGGGCAGTGTTTTAATTAATTTCTTAGTCCGAAACATATGTATTGATGGAGCGTTTGGCTGAAATATGAAGCTGTTCAGCCATTGACTATTAGGACCAAAGTAGCTCAAAGGTGAGTGCTCTTCCACCATTTTCGGGTAAGTTAAAGCAGTAGGTAGATAAGTACATCGCCGTAATTACAGACGGAGGTAATTGTTTTTATAATGATTTTTAGACCACTTCACTGCTAATCGATTTTTTGTTGTTGTCTTTCACCACCAAAACCACCACAAATTAAAAAAATTGATAGACGAACGGAAATTAAATGACCATCGAATGAATGGCCTTGCTTAAAAAAAATTCAAGGACACTTGCTGCGAGATTCACTAAAAGGTTAGTTCATGCTTTGAAGCTCGTTTTACGTTCAAGAAGATGACTTTTAAAATTCTCTTCTACCTCTTAAGTTTCAGTCACTCTACCTTTGCCAACCAACTGAAGGAAATTCTTTCTCTGACAATGTCCTCGTGCGTGCCGAACAACGGAACCAGTGGCACTTCGTACTCGTTCGTTCCTGAACCAGAAGCCTTGCGAATTGTTCGCACCGTGGTTTTGAGCTTGTTAGTGGTGTTTTCACTCATTGGAAACTCGGTCGTGTGTCGGGCCGCGTGGAGACAGCGCGAAGCTAAACCGTTTGCTTATTACCTCGTCAGCAATTTGGCTTTTGCCGAAATTCTCGGCTCAGTTTGCGTGGCGTTCCGAGTCCATGCCGATGAACCGCCTTGGTCTTGGAAACTTGGTCCTGTTATGTGCAAGATCGTGGATCCTTTGCAAGTAGCAAGTCTTCTGGTCGTCACAACAACCTTGGCCACCCTTGCTGTCTATCGCTGTCTTGTTCTCATTAAGCCCCTCATCACCAAACCAACCAGCAGACAAATTCGTTGTTTGATTATTGTCACCTGGGTGGGGTCTATTGTGATATCGATTCCTTCATCAGTTTTTCGTGTTGTGAACGTGTATAGGATAAACTGTGTTGACTATCACATATGCGAAGAAATATTTCCAGCGGGTTATTACCATTACCAGAATACTTACTCCATTTTCATCTTCGTTATCAACTTTGCACTGCCACTTTTGATAATGGCGGTGTCCTACGCTTTGGTCAGCAAGAAGATCAGGGAACATATCTTTGTTATCACCAGGCTCCGAGACGCGCAGAGCAAAGCTATGTCATCAGCTTGTTCGTCCACATGCGTAGGAGATACAGATGGTGCCGGAACTAGCGACAAAACTGGGGCAGGAGAAAACCAGGAAAATATCGAGATAGCCGACATGCCAACAAACAGAAAGACAAATACAGGCTCTCCAAGCAGAAACGTGGGAAAAAACAGGGAAAATGACAAACCCCTGATGCCCAGCAGCAACCAATCTCCAAGGAACAACAAAGCCAGCATTGACCTGGAAAATGACCTACTAAAGATGGTTTTTGTGATCGTGCTGGTATTTATAGTTTGTTATATTCCTTACCAAATTCAGTTCCTTTTGTTTGAGTTGGAAGTGGAGTCGTTTACACAATGGACCCATCGCTACGCTTTTACCAGGTTTGTTTTTACTTTGACAAACTTACCAAGTGCTCTGCATCCTGTGTTCTACGGAACGATGAGTAATTTCTATCGCAGAGCGTTCATTAAAATGATTTCGTGTCGGGCAACAAATTGATCCATACAAGTCGCTACAATTATCAATTCGTTTTAACCCAAAACCGATGTGTCTAACCAATTAACCCTGCTTTCGAATTATCTTTAACACAATTAATTATATGCGTCAACTCAAAAACGAAAACAAAAGGACAAAGAAAAAAATAAAAATTATGATGATTTTTACCACATCGGGATCCAAAGAGGATCAAAGGCGGCTACTTTTTGTGATAAATTGAATCAATTCAAGAGTGAATAGTGCAGTCAAGCGGCGATCGCTTTCGCTTAAACAAATATGTAACAAAGTTTTAACATAGTAAACATTGTGCGATAAAAGCGATCGATAATTGGAGAGGTTTACACGACTTTGGCGGCAAATGGCGTAAGTCAAAAGTTGCCTTCAGCTTTCAGCCCTTTTCAATTAGACTTGGAAACATCTGCATAAACCGTCATCAAAATATTTTTTGCCTCAAGTTTTAAGTTCAGATTTGATAGGAAGATTGCGAGAACAGTAATTTAATTTAGTCAGAGTTGGTTTTCACCGTTTGCCGAATCGCTATAATCGGTGACAATTCATTATCAAGGATCTCTTTAGATTGAATTTTCAATTTTAGGTAAAGTGCAGCCGAGTATAAGAAAAGTGGGTCAGTTTCTAAAGGAATTGTGGTACTGCGTCGGCGGGAGGTATTACAAGGGAGCGAAATGAACCTCTCTGTCATCTCAACTAAAAGACACTAACAAGAAAAGAGTGGATGGGCGGGAAAGAACAATTCCTTTGACAAAAACACTGCAACCTCGTTCCCAGGGTCTCTCCTTTTCTCGACCCCGGGAGCGTGAGAAGGGGCGGGAAGATGAGAGACACTGGGAACGGGGTTGAAAACACTGTTCACGCCGCGAGAGCTCTAACGAAACTGAAACCCTTTACTGTAACAGATAAAGAATAGACAAAGGTGTGTCGCGTGGCGTGGGGCGTGTGGCAATTAATCTCTTTCGCAATAACGCCCAAAGAGAGAATATCAAATTCATTGATGATGAAAATTGGCCACCGTGAAGAGTCTGCAAAGCTGATGTTTCGAGCGTAAACCAAAACCAAAGCAGTCACAACAGCCAATCAGAATAAATATGACAAGGAGCCAATGAAAACTCAAAGTAAAAACGTGCGACTACCTGAAGCGCGGGAAAACGCGGGTGAGCCAATCCTAGTTGGTTTTAATTTGAATATATCAACAAAGTTGAAATGGTAAATTGGCCACCGTTACGATTATAAAAGCTGACGTTTCGAGCGATAGCCCTTCGTCGGAAGGGCTATCGCTCGAAATTATAATAATCGAATTATAAATTAATTTATATATCGAATTATAAATTAATTTATTCGTGTTTTTCTCCTTGCCATGTTCTCACCAATCACGTAGCTCCTTTTTCTGCCTCTAAAAGCACACGCAACCCACAATTCCCCTATTCGCTCCGACGAAGGGCTAAGGCTCGAAACGTCAGCTTTTATAATCGTAACGGTGGCCAATTTACCATTTCAACTTTGTTGATATATTCAAATTATTTCGTTACCGCCACCGACGCAGCCCCAAACAGTTTCTTTAGAAACTATGAGCCTTTATCCAATTGGTTTTAGTTTTTCATCTGATTGGCTTGAGTTTTCCTGACCAATCAAAGGGCGAAGTAACCTGCAGAGTAGGCGTAATTTTGGTGAACAAGTGCTCAGTATTTTTCTAGCGAAAATTATGACCGCCATCTTTGATTTCAATGGAAGCGGAAGGCTGGGGAGAGAAAGAAAAGAAAGGGGTGAGGGTTGGGGGAGTGAATATTATTATTATTGTCTTTTCGCCCCAAGCCGCCCTCCCCTTACCATTGACTCTAACTCCAAACGAAACATGACCGGTTGAATAAACGGCTCTTCTTGACGTTAACTTGCCCTAACAAGACGCCTGCACTGTGGGCTAGGAGCAAACTAAAGAGAAACCAAAGAATTCCGGATCACTTTCGACACTCCGTTGAAAACTGCTCGAAAATCAGGAGGAAAATGAAAAACATTTTCCGCCGATCTACAAAAAAACTTACGTCCGGTTTCATGTCTCAGCTACGAACTCGCGACGTCGAACGAAATCTCCTTTTCACTAAAATGTGCCGCATCATAAAAGAGATGGTAAAAAAACTGATTAGATAGGTATATTACCTTGAAGTTTCACAAAAGTTATAAATTTTAATTTGGTAATTTAACCTACCAAGAGAATTTACCAAGAGAAAGCAAGAGTTAACATATTCTCCATACTGTTCTCTATCCATTTCCCAAGGTGCTGACAAGGAGAATTTGTTTAATAATCAAGACCGTTATCAGTAAATGATCATTTCCTTTATTCTAGTAATCTTTTAAGGAGAAATTAGGTGCTATAGTCATTCTCAGGGGTCAAACTGTAATAGAAGGACATTGCCATCTTCATTTGCAAGATTATAATTATCTTATGCAAGTGGGACATCACTATGGTATTTTACAGGCCATGCACAGCAATATAATCTGTATATCTGAACTTAAAGCCTCAGCTTAATTAAGCCAATCCTATCTTTGAAAGTTAGGCTACTGTACATAACAAAGCATTTTATTACTGAAAGCAAATAAAAAATAGTGGGTTACAATAGCTAGTTTTAATGATACTCAAGTTAAGCTTTGTGAGCTAGGATGCTTGTTATGTAGTTATAGAGGAGAGATTTAGCACCGCGTTTACGTAAAACGGCAAAGGTCAGCTTGCCCTTTTACGTTACACGTAAAATAGCGTGAATCTGGCTGCTTTAGCTTTACGTAAACCCACGTCATGGTGGATTTGAAGGTGCCCTCGTATGACTGACAGGAAATAGTTTTGGTGCCCTTTTTCCGGCAATTAACTTTTACTTTGTCAGAGGAAAAGTGAAAAAAATCTTACGTACACGGCAAACGCGAAACAGGTTACTTTCACGTAGAAACGGCAAAGTACAACAAGCAAACGTGAAAAAATGGCGGGAAAAACAAGGTCACGTGGTCAGTCTTGCCGTTCACGTAAACGCGGCGCTAAATCTCTCCAGTATCACTAGAAGTAACGTGGTTGGGCAGAGGTTCATTCTTATTATTATTTGTATATAGCTTCAGTTCAAATAAGTCTTATATTACACGATAGAGCATTTCCATTGGGTGTTATAAAACCAAAACTAAAGTAATCATATCTGCTAATCAGAAAAGACGAAAATACTCTGAAGAGCCGATGAAAACTCACAATAAAAACAGGTTGACTGCCTAAAGCGCGGGAAAACACGGGCGACCAGTCGTGATTGCGAGTTTTCTAGACCGATCACAGAGGGAAGAAAAATAAAACTAAAGTAATCCTGGTTTAGTTTCGACACTTAATTGAACATTACTTTATCTGTAAATGCTAAAACATGCATTAACTAGATTCTAGCTTTTAAAGTATGAAATTTTCATAATCTGCTTTGCTACGTTCTTACAAGTCATTTAGGGTGGGGGTAAAGATATCGATAAAATTGTTAATCACAACTGTATTTCAACTAAGTGGATGTTTAAAACAAATAAAAGTAACGTACTGAGAGTCTTCTCATCCGTTAATTTGATTGAATATCTATTTAAATAAAAAAAAAAGCATAGTAAATAGCATCAACTGCACGTGCACAACATTCTCAACAAAAGCAACCGACAATGCTATTTTCATCGTCCTCAGCGCTAAGCACTCGAAACTATTTTCAACAGGTTGGAAAATGCACCTGTTTTCTTAAAATTGGTGATTAATAGAATTGTAATGGAAAAACCAAGTTCAATGCTAAGCCGAATGATACACGCATTTTGATTGGTTCTTACAATCTCTTAGAGGATAGATAGACGCGTAGATGACGTCATAAAGTAGCACATTAGGAGCAGCTGAGTGTGTCACTGATGTTCTTACCACATTTTAAAGTCATTTGTGGTCTGTTACTGAACGGACGCATGGCAACAGGGCTGAATAATGAAATGCTACGTCAGAGGGTATGCGGTCATCAACGCGGGCTCAAGTGTTCTAGGTCTAAAATTTTAGCGAATTGAAAGTTAGCGGAAAATGATAACGGTTGTCATTTAAAACTGAGGAACTTTGTTTTTTTCAAAGGCATTTTCCTATTTCCAGAGGTTTTAAGGAGAAAATTAATTTTCGAAAGTTTTTAGGGGGTGTACCAAGTTTTTGGAGGTTGTTCTGTAAAAGAATAGCGGCAAGGAAAACGACGGCTCGGAGTAACAGAATAGCGGAAATCAACCCTGCAAACTACTCAAAAATCCTTTTTCCACGGCTAAAACCTAGCGCATGCAAATACGTTATTCAGCTCTGTCTCGCATGGCAACAAGTACATGGAATCTCTATGTCAATTAAAACCTTTAATTTCGAGCGCGCGCAAAAGAGAATTCCCCTATTGCACTCAGTAACCTTCTCATACAGCGATCATTAACCGATAAGGAGAGGGATAACGTTCATGGAATATGTAATAAGGTCTGACAAAACCTGTGGAGAGTGACGGGCATTCATGCTTAAGTTCGTACTCTTTGCAATTTAGGGACTTTAACCAAACCACGACGGCTACGGCAAAGAGAACGTGGAAAAACAATAGATCTAATTGGCAGAACAATAGCCCAGCACGTGCGTTTTCAAACTTTATACATTTCTTAGCCGTCCTTTGCAAAACAACAGCGTGAAATCACCAAAATTTGTGTCGTCTGTGAAGCTAAACCGCGGCGGCAAGTTATTTTAATTTACATTTGGAACTCAACGCTACTTATATGCATTATGTCGAGTTTGAGGTCAGGCGCCCTATGAGACGGTAAACACATCCAGCCATTTTCGAAATTCTAACTAAAAGTAGAAACTCATTTTTTAATCGACGTCTTCCGTGGCGTTGCCGTCCTAACTGCTTAAAGTCCCTAATATACAACCACTCGGGCCGTTGCCTATCCTCTTGGATACGAATCAAGTAAATCACAGGTTATCGCAAGAAACTCACAAGCCATCTCTAACTGTTCACTGGCGCCCATTCTAACTGTTGAATGGAAAGTGGCACAACGAGAGAGAGCGGTATATCGTCTCCCGTCGGCGAGATATCGTTGTAGTTTAGCAATAAATCGGTAAGAGAATTCTTGCATTGTTCAATGATACTGCCGTAATGCTTAACTCGTGAGTATGAGTTCTTCAAATGTACGATTCTTCGACGTTAATAAAATCAGATAAGAGATACAAAAGCATTTGGCAGACATTTGC